ATGTTTTGAAGCCTTATAATGTTTTCATTCATTAAGTGAAATGGTTTTATTCTGGCTTGGTTGGTTTTATTGTCTGTGATAGTATAAACAGCTATGCTGAAGAAAACAAGACATTATAATTGCTAGTGCTGATTTAATATCATCTTGTTTTGAAGTTCCACCAAGATGTGTTGCTCTGTCTCCATCAGTGCTATCATGTTATATCATGTTGGATTTTATTATATGTGATAGGATAAACAAATATTTTTATAGATGAAGAGATAAAATAGTAATCATTGTTCATTTTCTGTTAGTTGGTTCTGAATACCCTGTAATGCTTTAATTCTTTTGAATGGTTTTACACTGTGTTTTTTTGTTTGATACTATAGTATATCAAGGTATACTCAAATATTTCAAGGTTAAGAGACACTATGGTTGCTACTGTTATGTCGAATTGACTTGTGGTGAAACAGTATGTTGCTTAAATTGTTCTGTTCTGATCTGTTGTATTATGTCCTCTTTGTCTTAATCTTTTTTTAATTAAATAAAGAAAGTACTGCTGCCTGTGTTTTCTTGTTCCCCTCAGCCTCTGAACTGCAGTTCAGATGGCTCCACCAGGAGGTTCAGTGTTTGCAAGTTTTGAATCATCCATATTTGTAAATTGGCAGTGAGTTTGGTGATAAAAATGACATTGTCCCATACAAAATTGTACAGTTATTATTTTCTAATAAAAGTATGCTGAAAAAAAGAGTATTTAAGTAGATCCTACAACTTCCAAAGTATAATTCAAATAATCTCCATATAACAAGTATGCTTAATAAAGCTGAACATTTTCTGTGAATGGCTCTCTTTTCTCTTATTATGAAGTGGTCTTTATTTCTTTTTCCAGTTGCAGAATTGATATTTCAAAAGGTTCCTTTCCCAAAATGGGAACAGGAGTATGTTTGGATCTGAAGTTCAGATGTGATTCTCTTTACCTCTCAATCCTATGTTCCATTTGCTGCATCACACATTCATTATGGAGCAATACAATGCACTGAAGTTATTTTGTCCCCAAGTTTGCAATAAAAATTCCTGAGAAAGGATCATGGGTGACCTCCCAGAAAAAGCTGTCATTATCGTGGATTTAACCCAATGCCCCACATACTACAGCTCCTTCAGTGAGATTGTGCAGCTGCAAGTCAAGTTAATAACACTAGACTCCCCAAAGTTAGACTCCATTGTATCTCTAACACTGTGGCTATCTGGCAAGAAAGAACACATTCATTGCATGACTGAGTGCCCTAGCCCTTAAACTTGCATTCTGTGATTTTTATAACATTGTTGGGATTGAGCTAGTGTTAGAAATATGTGTACAAGCATAGCAAAGTTTTTCCTCCAGACCAATTATCAGTCTGATGAAAAGTAAAAATATTGACTTATATATACATGCATGTGACACAAACAGAACAGTGCTCTGTCTAGTATTCCTAGGGAAGTCTTCCAGGTAGTGGCAAGCATTTCACTCAGCCTTAGTGAATTTATAGGCAATATAAACAATATTTTTTCCCTTGAAAGAATTTGATTATTTATATATCTTGGGTACCAGGGGTTGAACTCACGATTCAACATGTAGATTTTCTTCCTCTTTATGTCTGCTGCTTTTCATTTAAGATAGTACATTATGACTGAGACAGAAAGAGTAGAGCTAAGGGTTTGCTGGATCCCAGATTCAAATTTTATGGCCCTTCAAGTAGTGAAAAAGACTTCCTATTGCAATTTCAGGACACTGCTTTGTTCTGTCCCTGTTCTTCAGGCCAATAAAATCTGCTACATGAACTATTACTGCGAGAACAATTTTACCAGCTTATCAATCTAGCTACATGTAAAATGAGTTCTGACATTCTGTCCACAGAGCACCATTCTCTATGGGACAAGGGGAAATGATTAAGAGAAGTACATTTATCATTTCTCTCATGCTTCACACATGTGTATCCAGGCTTCAAGAGCTGTAACTACTTTTGCTTCCATGTAATTTGAACAACAAGTGTGCAGGTCTCATTCTTTTATGGCTTCTCAAAGTCTGATTCAGGTGGTGCATATACATAGAACTAACTAGAACCTCCTTTAAACTTTTTAAAACTTCCAAACCAACATTGGAAAGCTTTTAGGACCCACGTGAGATGTACTTTGACAAAAAATTGATTGAACTCAGTCTTAGGGGATTCTTTCTTTCTCACTGTTAGAAACCCTGCCTGCAGTCCAGAGATGAACTTTTCCATAATAGACATGCTTTCCTATGCATCGCCAACATTTTAATGGCTTCTTCTGGAACTCTTTCCTCAGCAGTGGAACTGTCCACTTAACCTTTACTTTCTTGTTCTACAGTAGTTTGTTGCCTACAGCTCCTAATAGGCTTGGGGTTGAGGGATTAGGATGTGAGGCAGGGCCACAGTGGAATCACGCTGATGAGAACAATCAGATTGATTTTTTCAATGGCCTCTACAGACTTTGGACACCAACCAAAACTTGGCCTTATGTGCATGAATGCCTGCCTATATACATGTGTGTTTTGCTAACATTTTAATAACTCCCACTGAAACTGCAGCAAAAAAAATAGAATCCACTGTTTAAATTTACTTTGTTGTTCAAACAGTATTTCTCACACTAAGCCTGAGGCTAAGGGCTTTAGACATAAGACAGGAATATAGTAAAAGGACCATAAAGATGTGATGCCTTGATCTGCCCTTTCTTTACTGAAAACGCAGCAAGGGTATTCCCCAAGACAGTATGCCTTCAAAAACAGCATTTACATAAATTGTGACTCGCTGCCATATAACTAATTGTGTGGATTTTCAGCTGCAATATCAACAGCAAATAAAATATGTGAAACCTATGAGCTGCCAGCATAGACTAAGTCTGTGAAGAGTAAATGAAGATGCTGTTACTCGTGATGTATAAATACCTTCGCTTTGAATATTATAAAGGTTAACATCAAATGCTTCAGACTCAAAATGATCATCTAATAAAATCACAGTGAAGGTGGGTATCAAATATTGGGGCTATGTCTGTGTTTCTAAAACTATTGCTTTGGATGTCAGAGAAATCATACATTTGTGGAGAACTCTGTGTTGATTATTGGCAATGTTGTTGCATACTAAAGTCAAACTAAGAAGGGATTCTACCAAATCATTTTCAAACACCTTTGCCATATATAGCTTAAACCTATGCAGATAGAATTTTGGGGGAATATAAAAGAAAGAGTGTGGCTTCCATCCTGCTTCCCTGATTTCTATTTTATGGTGTTTCTTTAGACATCAAGCTGTATCTTACATGAATAATGGGATGATCCCTAACACTTGCCTAATGTACAGAGATAACAATAAAATAAATCATCTTCATATACCATGTCACACATTAAAAGAATCCAAAGAAAAGTGTCTTTTGCTGTTTACAAAAATGTTCTAGTCTTCTCTCATGTCTCCTATGTCACACTAATCCATCTGTACTTCTCTTACAACATAAGTCAATTTGCCACACATTATCTTTTTTCATATCTTTGTACATTGAAAGTGTTCTATCAGTCAGCTACTATCTCAACCCATAGTGTGTCTTTAAATTTATATAAGCTGTCCACTTGTGTTGGATTATTATAAGTATACTGCAATTTATCTGTATCTTCTTTTATGGTATTGTTTTTATTAACATTATTTGTCATATATATTAATGAGTCTCATGGTGATATTTCCATATATCTATGTACACTGCAGAGACCAAACTAACATCTCTTTCTCTGTCATCCTGAACATACACCCTTTCCAAATCTATCCTTATCCTATGCTCAGGTCAAATAGTTTAGCTCTTACAAAAGAGAAAGAACCAATACTATGTGTCTTACTGTGTCTGCCTTATTTCACTTTAAGTTGTGTCCTCAATTTGAATCCATTTATCCATATGTATTTGCAAGCACAATAAACATTTTCTTTGAGGGAAGGAATCTTGTTTATATGACTTGGAAATTCACTAAGGCTGAGTGAAGTTCTTGATTCCAATGGGAAAAATTCTCTAGTAACACTACAAAGAGCACTGCTCTATTTGTATCCCATGCATGTTTTTATATGCTAATATTTGTATTTTCCATCAGGCTGAACATTACTCCAGAGGAAAAACTTTGCAATGCTTCTGTGTATGTTGCTAGCGCTAGCTTGATTTTAACAATGCTGTAAAAATCACGGAATGCATTCTGAAGGACTAGAGCACTCAGCCATACAGTGGATGCACTCTTCTTTGTCAGATAGCTGAGTGTAGGGAACACAATCGAGTCTAATGTTGGGGAGTCTGATTTGTGTTACTAACTTCACTTTCAGCTGCACAACCTCATTGAAGGACTGCAGGTGTGTGAGGTATTGGGTTGAACCCATGCTAATGACAGCTTTATCTGAGATCTCATCTATGACTGTTTCTCAGGAACTTTACTACAACTTTGAGGGAAAATAATACCAATCCATTGTATTATTCCTTAATGAGTGTGTGATGTAGCAAATGGAACATAGGCTTGAGAGATAAACAGAGTCACATCTGAACTCCAGATGCACAACTTACTCCTGTTGTGAGTCTGCAACAGTGAACCTTTTGAATATCAATTTTTCCAGTAGGAAAAGAAATAAAGACCACTTAATAACAAGAGGAAGGAGAACCATTCACAGGAAATCTTCAGCCTTATTAAATATACTCGTTATATGCACAGTATTTAAATTATACTTTAGAAGTAGAAATATCTACTTGAATATTTTCTTTTTCAACATACTTTTATTAGAAAATAATTACTGAACAATTTTGCACGGGACAATATCATTTTTATCACCAAACTCATTGCCATTTAATACTTATGAATGATCGACCAATTGCAAATACTGAACTTTTTAGTGGAACCATGTGAACTTCACTCCAGAGGCTGAGTAGACCAAGAAAATAAGGGCACCAATTCTTTTATGTCACACAGGTTGGAAACAAACAGCAAAAGAGAGGATGCTTCCACAGATATGAAAAACTGTACCAGGGTAAGAGAATTTGTTCTCCTTGGCCTAACCATGGATCAGGAAGTGAGCAGCCTCCTGTTTCTCCTGCTGCTTGTAGTGTATGTGACAACGCTGCTGGGAAATCTCTTCATCACAGTCACAGTGACCTGGGAGTCTCGCCTTCACACCCCCATGTACTTCCTGCTCCGCAATTTATCTATTGCCGATATATGCTTCTCCTCCATCACTGCTCCCAAGGTGCTGGTGGACCTTCTCTCTGGCAGAAAGACGATCTCCTTCAATGGCTGCCTGGCTCAGATGTTTTTCTTCCACCTCATCGGTGGTGTAGATGTGTCTTCTCTGTCAGTGATGGCCTTGGATCGCTACATGGCCATCTCCAGGCCCCTGCACTATGTGACCATCATGAGTAGAGGCGTTTGTACTGGGTTAATAGTGGCTTGCTGGGTGGCAGGTTTTGTTCACTCCATCGTGCAGATTGCCCTCTTACTCCCTCTCCCCTTCTGTGGGCCCAATGTTCTTGACACTTTCTATTGTGATGTCCAACAGGTCCTCCAACTTGCCTCTACAGACATCTTTGTTCTTGAAATGCTGATGATTTCTAATAATGGATTGCTCACCACACTGTGGTTTTTCTTGCTCCTTCTGTCCTATTTGATCATATTATTATTAATAAGAGCTCAGGCAGGGGAAGGCAGGAAGAAAGCCATCTCCACCTGCACATCTCACATCACAGTGGTGACCCTGCACTTTGTGCCCTGCATCTATGTCTATGCCCGGCCCTTCACTGCCCTCCCCGCAGATAAACCCATCCATGTCACCTTCACGGTCATCTCCCCTCTGCTCAACCCCTTGATCTACACCCTGCGGAACCAGGAGATGAAATCTGCCATGCGGAGACTCAAGAAAAGACTTGGGCCTTCTGACACAACAGGACAGTAGTTCCCTCCTATCACTGCTTTTCAAAATGCTTTCACATCAAATAAATTCTATTCACCAATCATTTTGAATTACTCATTATTTCTGTTTCTCCTAAGAAACAAATGACTTTCATAGATTCTGGTCAACATATCATAAACTGAAATTGTCTTTCCTATCACAGAAGAAAAATGAAGAATATATTTGTTGATGGGAGAGAAATACATTCCTTTTCCAGCACATCTTTGCAAGAAATAAGGAAAACTAAATCAAAATAAACTCACATACTCCCACCACAAGCTGCCCTTCACAGAAAGTGAAAAGAAACCTTATAATTAAGCCCAAGGCACCATGGGCTTTGGTTTCCATGATGTGCTTCATGAAGTAATAATATCCAAATTAACTTTCTCTGATTCTTTTTTTTAAGTCAATGAAATACAACAAAATGGGATAGAACAAAGCCAATCCATACAATGCAGTGAATTTGGTGCAGAACTTCAGAGCAGGATACTAGGATAACAGTAATAGGTACCACAGTATACCTTGTTGTCTTCATACTAGTTGTCCATTCAATCAGGTATAGAAAATCAAACCAAAAACAAAATACTATAAAACCAATCAAAACAGAATACTAAATAGAGAAAAACAATCAGAACAAATCAAAACAGTGAAAACAATATCGACCTTCAAAGATAAGACACAAGGAAATTCCCCATATTTGCTATATTACATATCGTCGTCCACCCAAGAGATGCTCAGACCAGAGGCCCCAGGTCACCATAATAAACCAAACAATACAAGCATTTAGTTGCTTTATGTACCTTAGTTTTTATCAACTCCGACTGACCTCAAAACCATTCTGTTGCTAACTCGGGGTGGGGGAAACAAGGAGTATTTGATTCTCAGCCCATGCACTGGTAGACTCATGGCAGACACTGACTTATTCTCTCCCTGGTGGACCCATTGTTCATGCCACTTACCAGGAAGAGTGACTCCTTGCTTTCTTGGTTGGTCCCCCAAGTTGCAGCATGGCTGATTTTAGGAAGACACTGATTTGTTCTCTCCCTGGCACATCCATGGTGCACACCACTTACCAGAATTCCTCTGATCATTTAAAGCAATAAATTAGTGTTCTCATCCAAAAATTGCTCAGTCTAAACCCCACATTCCAGAGCAGATGTCTTATATCTAACTTTGCCTAAGTCCTAATGTGCACATCACCAATTATGATATGAACCTCAGCAAGACCCTATCACCATCTTCCAAACCCCAAACCCACTGACCAACCCTACATGTTTCTTCAGCACCCCATGCTTAGCTGTAGCCTAAGATTTGGAACCCTCTTGCAAATATCCTCTTCTCTCCTTCCTACTTGAAGTACTATTTGTGTCATATACCCAGCCTCAACACAACTGGAATGTAGTAAACAATATTAAGACCTCATGAATATATATAAATCCTATGAAAGAATGTTGCCTCTCATCTCTGCTCCTCAAACTATTGGAGGATCTGTTTAAGGAAAATGGTGATGTAGGCTGTCCTTATGTTCTCAGGTGCCTGGGTGGCAAAGACAGGTAGATGATTTGACCCCAGGAGTTTGAGGCTAGTCTGAGTGACGCTGTGAGATGCAAGAACTGAAAGAAAGGAAAAGGAAGGAAGGAACACAGGAAGGAAGAAAGGAAGGAAGGAAGGAAGGAAGGAAGGAAGGAAGGAAGGAAGGAAGGAAGGAAAGAAGGAAAGGGAAGGGAAAAGAAGGAAAGAGAAGAAGGGAGGGAATCAGAGAAAAAAGAGAAAAAATAAAGAAGCTGTAATGTTAAGGAAAGAAAAGGAGAGAGGAGGGAAAGATATCTTTTTAACCTTTGATGAAATGACTTCTTATATATGACAAAACTGTGAAGCTGCTTCTCAGACTATGCACATGTATGAAAAATGCCAAAGTGAAGTATCAAGTCTTACTCAACAGGACATGTTGTTTATTTGTTTATCTTTATTATTCATATCATTATTTGTGCTGGGAGGGCTTTTTCATGTCTGAAGTAGAATGTAGGTAATAAAGTAGTTGAGACCACAAAAATGTTTATATCCAGTATAAATCTCTGTCTATAAGTCAGATATTCAAAAGCCCTGATGATGCAAGGAAGCCATTGTAAAGGGTCAGACAAACTGGGAGTGGAGGGCTGAGATACAATAGATATTGGGCCATAAGACTGGGTCATTGCCATCTGTAATGCACACCACTGGGAAGCTCTGGCTTTCACAATGAATGAGATGGAGAGTATTTGAGGAGAAGAACAGCAAAATAATAATGCATATTTTTAACATGACTTCAGTGGATACCATTCTGAATAGACCAAAGAGGGAAAAAACAAAAAGAGACCAATTTGGAAGGTTCTGCAATAACCCTACAAAATAATCACTACAGAAGTCTAGCACCCAGGAAGCAAGAAGATGACACATTAAACTTTTGGGGGAAAAAAGATTCTACCAAGAATTCTGTGCCCAGAAAAACACAGGAGAAACTAACATACCACCAGATGAACACAAGAAGAGAAAATACTTATAACTATTTATTTTACCCTCCAAGAAATACTAAAGGCAATTTTTATTTTAAAGAGAAAAAAAAAAACAATGAAGAGGTACAAATCTTTGAAACAAGACAACAGAAAATCAACAATGGTTAATCTCTTGAGTATGGTTATCTTCAAAATAGTTGCTCAGATTATAAGGGATATGCACACATAATTTAATCAAACAATATAAGAACAATTCTTTTAATGAAAATAAATCAGTAGTATAAGTATTTTAGCTGCTTTTCTTTTCCCTTCCTTTTTTCCTCTTTTCACCCATCCATTTTCTTCCTTTGGAGCAATTTATTTTCTCTTTCACAATACTTATTGTTCATCTTGGGTCTTATTTATTCTTTCGTTTCTTACATTAGGGAGACAATATGAGTTTATGCACGCAAGTCTGATTTACCTTACTTATGAGTATGGACTGTAGTTGCATCCATTTACCTGCAGAAGCCTAGAGTTTATACTTCTGTAGAGCAGAGTAGTACTGCATTATATAAAAATACTACGTCTTTTGTACATATTCCTCAGCTGATGTGAATCTGGCTATTACAAATTGTGCCAAGATTCAGCTACCACAAATTGTGCTGCTATATATTGGTGCATATATATCGCTGTGCTATTATGTATGTGATATGTGGTAAACTACTAAAGGAAATTTTTGAGATGAAAAATAAATTGCAAAAGTCTCTAACTTAAATAAACATGAGCAATTAAATAACATCAGGAAAGATAACTATGTGAGGTAAATTTTGCACATTTTTAATAAATGGTACTTGAATTTTTAGAGAGTGAAGAGAAAAGGTTAAGGAATGATCATTCTGTTGGCAGCAGAATAGCTGTGGAGGCTAATACAAGCTACAGTTTCTGATAATGTCTTGTAAAAGTACATTATTTTCAATATTTATATAGATATATAAATTCAAAATAAATTTTATATATTTGAATTTGAGAGAAAGTCACTACACTGAAAATAAATTATGAAAACATTTTTTAAAACAGTGCAAACAGAAAATCACCGTCATACCCTGAGTTTGAGACCAGCAAAGCTTTGTTTAGGAAAGAAATGTAGGGGCTGGGGATTTAGCTCAGCGGCATAAGCGCCTGCCTTGCAAGCAGGCAGTCGTGAGTTCGATCCGTGGTACCGATAAAAATGAAAAAGACAAAAAAAAAAAAAAAGAAAAAGAAATGTGGAAAAGGGATATTTATCCTTTCGCCTTTCCTTAGACACTGACAAACAACCTGCAAGAAAACCAAGGGAGGAGATCGATTCCCTGTCTTGACTTTGGAATTAGCCTCAGAAGTGTAAGCATTCATCAATCATGCACTTTAAATCTGTCAAGGTCCCTTTATGATATCTTCATAACACATTGATAAGTCTGATAAAAATAAAACTCACACTATGTTAATGACTACAGCTCATAAATAGTGCATTATATATTCAATAAACAATAAATTCATTATGCTTTTTAAATTCTCAGAATTTGCACACCTGCTCAATCCACCAGCAACCCTGTGGGCTGGAAAGCTGTCTTATTAACTCATCTATCTGTTTTCTTTCAGCTACAAGTCTGTTGTTTCAGATTGATTTTGGCTTCTGGAGGTGTGAGCCTCCTTTTCCCCCTATTACCTATTACCTGTGCTTTTAGTTGATTTTCTCTAAATGGTTTGAACATGATTGATACTCTATTATGTCATGGTGCATCTCCACAATAACTTTTTTTAAGTCATCCTAAAAATAATACAACTCCAGAATACAAATTACATTAAGAAAAGAAAGGAAAGTGATGGATATTTCCCTGAACCTATCACAGTTTTATTTCTTTCTCAGAATTAGAACTGAATTATGCCTGGGAAAATACCCTCCAAGGCTGAGTTGTAGCTCAGCAGTACAACACCTGTACAGCATGCAAAAGGCCGTGGAGTCGAACTCCAGCACAACCGAAAATGCTGCTGCTGCTGCTGCTGCTGCTGTGCTAATAATGGTGTTGAACACATTAATCACCATGCTGCTTATTATGTTTTTTTTCAATTTTGTATTTTAAAAACAAAACAAAAAGGATAGGAGCAATACAAATTTCAAAACTTAGGAAATTAACACCAATTAGTACATTTCATATTGTTATTTTAGAAGTAGTTGTTCAGATTATGGAATTTTAGACATAAAAAAGCAAACAAACAATGAAAGCACAAGCTTTTCTTTTTGATAAATACACAGAAATTGGTAGTATAGTTATCTATCTTGCATATCTACACATATACAAACATATATGTATACCTACATACATATAATCTCTACCCCTTTTCTTTTTCTCCTTTCTCCTATCCTAGTCATTCTTTCCTTTTGCTGTGACTCTTACTAGTGGGAGTGCTGGCTGACCGGCCTTTTCTGGGCTATCCTCCATACAGTGTGTAAGTCAGACCATATTATTCCTCTTCTCCTGATACTCCAAG